CAGGCGGCGGCATCGGGCAGCCAGCCAGCCACCAGGCGGCGCCAGCGGGCACGCCCACCTCTGCCAGCCCCACGTCTAGGCTCTTCTTGTTCCAGCTGGGCTCCTCCGCAGAGAAGATGCGGCCCTTGAGCAGCGGGATGTACAGCACCGCGGAGATCTGAGGGTGTGGCGCAGGCGGGCGGGGCGGGAGGGGCAGGTCACGCGGCGGCGGGTGGGCCAGGAGGTGCGAGGGCGGTGGGTGGTGGGGTGTGTGACGCAGGGCTCCTCCGGAAGCCAGGCGCCGCCTCCAGCGCGCACCGCGCCGCCTGCCCTCGCCACCTGTGGCCTGCGGCACACACCACCGCCGGCAGCAGCAGCAGGGAGGGCACCCCTCCAGCCTCCCCTCCCTGCAGCCCCTTTCCCTGCAGCCCCTTTCCCTGCAGCGCCCCTTCCCCACACACCTGCAGCGGCCACGTGCTGCACTGGTTGTCCAGCATCTGGAATCGCTCCAGGGACAGCTGGGTCACAACCGTCAGCCCCCGCTCGGGCCGCGCCTTGCGGCTCTCCAGCTTGAGGACCTGCGGGGGAAGGCAGGCAGGGGAGGGCAGAGCAGGGGAGAGTACAGCAGGGGAGAGGGAAGCAAGAGGAGAGAAGAGCAAGTGGGAGACAGCAAAGCAGGGGAGAGGGAAGCAGGCGGAGAGTGAAGTAGAGGAAAGTACAGCAGGGGAGAGTAGCAGCGGAGGGAAGGTGGATGGATGCGTCTGTTGCGGTGGTGCGTCTCCATGCGTGTGAAGGGGCGAGAGCAGGTGCTGGCCCACGCGCGGCAGGCGGCGGCGGCAGCGGCCCCCACCAGCGCCCCGCCCCGCCCTCCTGGCGCCGGCGCCGCGGCAGCCACTCGCCTGCTGCAGCTGGGGCACCTCCTCTGGCAGCCCCTCGCGGCACCACTTGTACATCGACACGTCATCGCCGTACTTCTCACGCCACTCGGCTGCAGGTAGAAAGCAGGTGGGGCGAGGGGGCGGGGTTCATGTGGTGTGTGGCTGGCTGGTGGGCGGGGGCATGGGGTGGCCGCTTTGGGCGGACGCCAGGCAGGCGCAGCAGCAGGGGGAGAGGTCTGCCCGCGCCGGGCGGGTGCCCGGGGAGCGAGCGGGCGGGAGAGGGTGCCATGGCCACGGCCACGGCCGGCAGGCAGGGCCAGGCACGGGCCAGGCACGGCCCTCCTCCAGCACGGCCCTCCACCAGCACGGCCCTCCACCCGGCGCCGCCGTGCCCCCTGGCGGTGCGCGCTCACTTGACTGCAGCAGCGGGTTGTGCGTGGCGGCAGCCAGAGAGAAGTTAGCTGCGTCCGGGGTGCAGCGCCAGGTGGAGATGGAGTTGGGGACCACCTGGCGGGTCTTGTTGCGGTACGGCTTGGGCCACTGGCCCAGCGTACCGCCCTGCAGCGACAGCCACGCAGCGCAGCGCAGCGTCAGCGCAGCGTCGACACAGCGCAGCGACGCCATTCAGGCACGGCGCTTCGGTTCCGGTTCCTGGGGCCCGGGGCAGGGAGCGGAGGCAGGCGGCACGGGGCTGCAGCCAGGCAGCGCAGCGCCGCCGAGCAGCCGCCCGCCGGTGAGGTGAGCTGCAGCAGGGACGGCGGGGGCGGCACGCGCGGCGGCGCCGCACCTCTATCCACGCCAAGGGGATCGGGGAGGGCGGCGGCGAGGCCGCGCCGCGCCGCACCAGCGCCGCAAGGCTGCTCAGCGCCGACTGGCCGCCGCCGGCGCCATCGTGCTGCTCCACCAGTGCCCTGGAGCGGGAGGACTCGCCCCCGGGGCCGCCCTCGCCCGTCGGCTCTATCTGCCGGATGGCCACCCCGCCTATCAGGCTGCCAGAGGAGGCTGCCAGCCAGGGCTGGGTGCGCTTGGCCACCATGGAGTGGAGCTGCGGGACGGGAGGCAGGCAGGCGAGGGCGGGCGCAGCGTGGGTAGGAGCGAGGCGAAGGGAGGGCAGGGGTGGTCAGTGGGCGGCACCCTAGAGCCAGCATGGCTGCGCTGCTGCAGGTCGGAGGCACCACATGCGAGCCAGAGCGGCGAGGCATGCTACAGACATGCACGTGCTGCATGCAGTGCAAGCCGTGCTGGTGCCAGCAGCGCGTAAAGATTGCGGGCGCCCAGCGGCGGCCGCGCTCACCAGCAGCCCAGCCAGCACCAGCATCAGCAGCTGCCAGCGTGACGTGAGCAATGCACGAGCCCTGCTCCCCGCCGGCTTGTCCGCGCGCAGGGTGGGGGAGGTGGGAGCGGAGCCGGGGCGGCGGCGGCGCGGTTCGCCGCCGCCGCTGCCGCCGCTCCGCTGCAAGTCGCTGCGGCGGTGCAGGCCGGGGCCTGCGCCGCTGCTGACTGGCAGTGTCGGCTCCGCATCCTTCACCGGCAGGCGCTGCGCCATAGGTGAGTCCCTGCTCCGGCAACTCCCGAAGCTGTGCTCAGCCTGCAGTGTCATGTGAGCGGTTTGAACCGTTGCTCAGCCGGGGGGGCTGTGAAGGCGCCAGTAGCTTTGTGAAATTTCGCGGGAGCGCCACGGGCCCCCCCGGGCTGGTCAGCTGCGAGGATGAGCCAACCGCAGTTGGAGGGGAAGGACTCCCGAGGCCAACACCCACCTGCCGCCTCCTCCACTGTTGGAAATGAGTCTCCGCGGCCCCAGATGTGCGATGCGATGCCTCTGGCCCTGAAAGATGAGGCCTACCTACTGCAAGGCAACCCCCAGACGCGGCTGCAACCCCAGCGAAGCCTGGCTCCGCCCCAGAGCACACCACAACAATGTGGGATTGGGGCAAGCGGCTTCGAGAGCAACATGGCGGCAGGCTGAGGTAGCACCGCATACTCAGCAGGTCCTCGATGAAATTGCGGCTCTCTCGCCGTCTCTCCAATCCCAGTCCAGCGCAGGTGGCAGGGCGTGCAGACCAGCCCCTGCTGCGACTGTCTATGCAGCCTGGAACCCCCGCCCAGCTCCCCGCCCATTGAAAATGGCCTCCTCCCAGCTCGGCCTGGGAGGCCTGCTATCGTCAGTGCCCAGAAAATCGGTGATCGGCAGCACCGACTCCACCCTGGCGGCGGATGAGGAGCTGCTGGTAAGGCTGCCGCCGGCTGTCGCCCGCCGCCGCCGGCCTGGCGTCACCCTGGCGCCGCCACGGCGCGCCGCCGATCGCCCCCACGCCCGCCCCTCACGTGCACCAACTCCGGGCACCCCTGTGCAGGTGCCACGCCTCGTGGCGCGCATCGCAGAGCTAGAGGAGAAGCTGTATTCGGCGGACGGCGGCAGCGGCGGCGACGGCGCCGAGGACGGCGGCCTGCTCGACCGCTTTGGCGGGCTGCTGCGCAAGGCGCAGCAGGGGCTGGACGCGGGCATCGCCTACGTGTGAGTGCAGCGCGTGCGCGCCCAGGCTGGCTTATTAGCGTGACAGCGATGGCGCAGCAATTGAAAGAGTGCCGCTCGCTTTCCACCGTACTCTCGGGCCTGCACCAGCGCCCTGCTGCCGCCCGCCGCTCGTCCCCACAGCACGCCCTACACCCACACCACGCGCACAGCGTGCTCAGGCCGCTCACCCGCCTCCCCGCTGCCGGCGGTTGCGGTGCCGCAGGGTGGGCGACAGCGAGGCGCAGCAGGCGCAGCTGAGCCAGGTGACTAAAGAAGCGACTGCCAAGGCGCTGCTCATCACCATCCGCAAGCTGCAGACGCTCAAGGCGGAGCGGCAGCGGCTGGAGGCGTCGGAAGCCAGCCTGCAGCTGGAGCTGGAAAGCGCGCGCCAGGCGCTGGCCGCCGCGCAGGCCGCCGCCACCGCCGCCGCCGCCGCCGAGGCCGCGCTGCGCGCCGCCGAGGCCGCCGGGCAGCGGAGCGCGGCGGACGTTGCTGCGGCGGCGGCCGAGGCGGCTGCCGCCGACCGCGCCGCGCTGGCGCAGGCTTCACAGGCGCTGGAGGCGCTGCGCCTGGAGGCGGCGGCGGCGGGTGTGGGGCGGGCCGCGGCAGACGCGCAGGCGGCAGAGACGGGGCGCCAGGTGGCGGCGTTGCAGCGCCAGCTGGCGGATGCCCAGTCAGCGGCCGTCGAGCTGCACAGGCAGCTAGAGGGCAGCCGGCAGGAGGGCGAGGTGCTGCGCGCGCGGCTGGCGGCGGCGGCGGAGGAGGCGCAGGGCGCCAGCACCGAGGCGGAAGCGCTGCGTGCGGCGCGGGCTGCGCTGGCCCAGGTGCGGCGGCCCGCCCGCCTGCCCCTTGCCTGTCGCTTGCTGGTGCCATGCGGGCGTCCATGGCGGAGATGCCTGTCAGAGTGCTCTGTTTGGCAATAGCAGCGCGTGCCGGGTTTTGTCGGTGTGGGGTGCCTGCCCACCTTTCTCCCCACCTGCCTGCCTGACCGCCGCTCTCTCCCACCTGCCTGCCTGCCTGCCTGCCTGCCTCTCTCTCCCACCTACCCACCTGCCTCACCCCACCTCACCCCACCTCACCCCACCCCGGCCCATCTCCAACCCCGCCAACAGGAACTGAATGAGACCCGGTCCCGCCTGGAGCGGGCGCAGATGGCGGCAGAGGACTTCCAGCGCCGCTTCCTGCAGGTTGGTGGGCGGCGCGGAGCGGGCGCATTGCCGCTGGGCAGGGGTGCAGGCAGGCTGGCGGCAGCAGGAGGGGGCAGGCTGTGGCAGCAGCCAGAACAGGTTTGGCGCCCAGGTTTGGGGCCAAGGTTTTGGCGCGCTGCGTGCTGCCCAGCTCCCCGACCGCTCCTCCCCGCCCTCTCCCTCCCGGCCGCTTTTCCCCCCGGGGGAGCGGTAGGAGCGGCAGGAGCGGCGCAACCTGCACGAGCAGCTGCAGGTGCTGCGCGGCAACATCCGGGTGTGCTGCAGGGTGCGCCCCTGCCTCAGGTGCGCTTCGCCCCACTTTCAACACAACGCGGGGCCTGGCTCTACGCAAGTTGTGGGGACGGGATTGGCTGTCTCTGGGCAGTACCGGGCGGTACTACTGGGCTGCAGCAAGCTGCAGGCATGGTGCATGCTGCAGGGGCTGGGCAGGAGGTAGGGCTTGCCCCGCCCCGCCCTTCTACCGCAGCCTAGCGCGGGCCTTCCCAGCATCCGCGCAGCCTGCGATGCCCACAGCCCGCCTCGGGCCCTGCCGCCGCCGCCGCCCTGCGCAGCGCCGGCTCTGGCGGGCCCACCGGCAAGGAGGCGGCCTGCGGCGTGAGCTACCCCTACCCAGGCACCCTCTGCGTCCACGCCAGCGAGCGGCGGCACCAGGAGTTTGAGTTTGATGCTGTGTTCGGCGGGGAGGCGACCCAGGTGCTCCCTGCCGCCGCGGCGGCCGCTGCAGCTGCGCCGGCTGCGGCCGTGGCGCCTCTCTCTCACCGCCAGCACAGCTGAGCTTGGCGTTCGCCGTGGGGTGCCGCGGACACCCCTCCAGTGCTTCACATGCCTTGCTTGGATCAATGCCTAATTCTGATGACCCCCAGCAGGAGGAGGTATTTGATGAGGTGGCGCCCATGATCCGGTGAGCAGCCGCTGCTGCCTGCAGCAGCTGCTGCCACCACCTCTGCTGCCACCGCTGTGCTCCTGCCCAGGCTGCCGCTGCCCATGCTGCCGTCGGCGCTGGCTGCCGCTGCTGCTGCTGCTGCTGCCATGGGTCCAGGGGCCCTGTAGTGCTCCGGCTCCGCTCCAGCCGCGCGCCTGCAATGAAAAACACACCCCAACCAATGCCCTCCTCCTCGCCCTTGCTGCCACCGCCCCTGTACCTCCCCCTGCCACCGCGGCCAGGTCGTGCGCCGATGGCTTCAACGTCTGCCTGCTTGCCTACGGCCAGACCGGCAGCGGCAAGACGCACAGCATGATGGGGCCAGCAGAGGCGCCCGGGCTGTCGGTACGGGCGGTACAGGCGCTTTTTTGGATCACGGCCGCCGACACCGCCGATGGACAGCACCGCACGCTCAGCGTCAGGTGGGGGCGCTGGGCGCGGCCGGGGGCGGCGGCTGCGGACAACCGCTGCGCTGCTGCCGGCTACCGGCCTGCTGTGTTGATGCGCCGCGCGTTGGATGCCCACATGCACTGATGCATGCCCCAGATGACCACCGCCTCCCTCTAACAAACACCACCACCATCGCCGCCGCCACCTCGCATACACACACATGCACGCGCGCCCCCCCCCCTCCCTCTGCTCCACTCTCTTGCGCTTCCTTTCCCGCCACTACCACCGCACGCCCCTCCGCAGCATGCTGGAGGTGTACAACGAGGCGCTGAGGGACCTGCTGGCGACGGGGCAGGAGGCCGCAAAGCCTCTGGAGGTGTGTGTGTGTGTGTGTGTGTGTGTGTGTGTGGTGTGTGCTGCTAGATGCCAAGGTGCCTGCGGTGGGCGTGGGCTGCGTGGATGGGAGCGCAGGCTGGTGGGCGGCGCCGACCTGCAGGCCTCACAAAAATCAAACAAAAAACGAAACTACTGGTCCCTGCCCGCCCGGCGGCAGGTGTCGGCCATGGGCGCGGGCCAACTGGCGGCGGGGCAGGAGCGGGTGCCCGGGCTGACGTGGCGCCCCGTCAGCAGCGTGGACCACGTGCTGCACGTGCTGGCAGAGGGCAGCAAGAACCGCGCCACCGCCGCCACCTCCCTCAACGCCCACTCCTCCCGCTCCCACGCCCTGCTCTCCGTGCGGCTGACGGGCGCCGACGGCCGCTCCTCAGTGCTCCACCTCGTCGACCTGGCAGGTGGGCAGGCGCGGGTGCGGGAGCACACGTGTGGTGCGCTGTGGTGCGCACACGTGCGTTCGTGTGTGCGGTTGCGCTTCGCGGGCGGTGCGGCGGCAGTTGGTGAAGGGGAAGCAGGCGCATGCATCACGGCAGCGCGCTCGCTGCTCCTGGTAGCCGTGCGGTTGGCTGCGCTGCATGTCCCTGCGCTCTGTGCCTGCCTGCTCCACCCCTCCCCGCCCATCCCCACCCACCCACCCACACGTACCTGCATACCGCTCGCGTGCCCCTGGCCCCTTGCTGGCAGGCTCCGAGCGCATCTCCAAGAGCGAGGTGGCTGGGCAGCAGCTCAAGGAGGCGCAGGCGATCAACAAGTCGCTGTCGGCGCTGGGTGACGTCATCCAGAGCCTGCAGTCCAAGAGCGGGCACGTGCCGTACCGCAACAGCAAGCTGACGCAGGTACGGGGAGAAGCGTACTGGTACCATCCGGTACTGTGGGGCATCACAAGGCTGCGGTGATGGCGCACGCTGCCGGCCAGGTTGCCACGGTCCCGCCGCCGACCGCGCCTGCGGGTGCCCTCGCGCAGCCAGCCCGCCGTTGCGGCCTCCTGTGCGGCCGCAACCCGCAGAGCAGAGCAAGCACCTGCTGGCCTGTGTCCCCCGGGCTGCCCCCTCCCGTGGTCCTGCAGGTACTGCAGGACAGCCTGTGCGGGTCCAGCAAGGTGCTGCTGGTGTGCTGCGTGAGCCCAGAGGCGGACAGCGCCCAGGAATCCATCTCCTCCCTCAACTTCGCCTCACGGGCCGCGCAGGTGAGGCCCTGCCTGTGTTAGTAGGCATGAGTGCGGGTGTGGTGGGTGGGAGGGTGTGTGGGGCGTGGAGGGGGTGGAGGTGGAGGTGGTGGTGGTGGTGTGGGGTGGCGAGCACGCAGCAGCCCTCCGCACAGCTCCATTCCCTGCCACGGCGTGGCCCTTCCTGGGCACCCCCTGCCTTGCTGCTCCCCTACCCCTGGCGACGCCGGCCGGCTGCGTGCCGACTGCCACCTCATCTGCCCACCCTGGATGCTTTCCTCCCGGCTGTAGGTGGAGCTGGGCCCCATCCGCAAGGCACACGAGGCGACGCCCAAGCGGCCGGCGGGAGGGCCCGGCCTGTCGCCGCTGGCAGCTGCGGCGGCGGGTCGCGGCAAGCTGGCGGGCACGCCGCAGAGCGGGGGCAAGCCGCGCAGCGCGCTGCGTGACGCTAACGCACACTGACGGCGCCCCGCTGGTGCATTGGCACGGCTGCCCAGAGACACCCTCCACACCTCCTCACTGCTGCTGTGCCCTGTCGGAAACTCCCAGCTGTAAAATTCTTAAAGAATCATCGAAGACAAGGCGTTTAAGAAAGTTCACCAAAGAATTTCAAATTGTACTCCTGTTCTATTCACTCCGAGGCTGGAGGCTTGAGGCAGGGGTGCCTGCAGCCTGGCCGCCTCCCATGTGCGAGCAACTGCCACCTGCTGAGTGGCGGGTGCCTGCAGCAGCAGGGTTCTCAGCTGTCCCACAGGCTGCTGGTATAGCACAGCTGGGGGTCTGCCACAAAGGGCAGGTAGGTGCCAGCCCGCATCTGCGCATTGGCCTGCAGCACGCTGGACGCCACATGGTTTGATGCCGTGAGGGGACAGGTGGCAGGCTGCTTCACTTGTGCCCGCGGCAAGCAATGCCAGCCGCTGGCAGCCCAGCTGGGAACCAGCGGCTGACAGGCAGGGGAGCAGCCAGGCAGGGAGCAGCTGCCCACCCTGGCAAACAGCCGGTTGTTGAAATCCTTGAGGCCGCTGTCGCGAGTGATGCCCTTCATGGCGGCCGGCTTGTGCGGCAGGTGCAGCACAAAGCCGCCTGCAGAGGGCAGGGCAACGGTGCGCATGTGCTTGCTGCCAGCCCAGCTGGGCGGCAGATGGGCACCGCATCACCGCTGGGAGGCTGTGCTTTCACCGCTAGCCAGGCACCGTGACGCCCCCGCATACAGCGCTAGTGCAGCCCTGGCCGCCCGCACCTGGGTGCACAAACCAGCGGATGCCCAGGCTGGCCATGTGGGCGCGATGCATCAGCTTGTTGACAAAGTAGCTGCGGCGGCGGGGCGGCAGGCGAGCGCATGCATCAGCCGCCAGCTGAGTTCATCAATCGCAAGCAAGCTGTCACGCACACATGCTGGGGGATGGCTCCTCCTAATGACGAATTCGTGATGGGCGCTCCCTCGAGGCTCACCCGCGGCACCGCTCGTCATACCAGGGCACGTGCTTGCGGTGCACCAGGATGTAAGGTTCAAACCCCGTCTGGAACTCAACCTCATACACCTGCACATGCCGAGGGGGGCAGACGGCAGGGCAACGCAGGGCAAGCCTTGCCTGGATCAGCGCCGTGCCGACATGCCTTCATGAAAGCACCGCACGTCCCGACCGTGGGATGCAACGCCTGCTGGCCATCCGGCTGCTGGCCTTCAATTAGAGCAGCATAGCCCTGCTTCCACCAAGCACCCCCCCTCCGTTGCGCCGCAGCCCCACATTGGCGGCGGTGGCCCAGCGCCCAAAGTCGGTGGCGCGATGGCCCTTGCTAAAGTGGCCCGAGTGGAACGACTCCAGCTCCCCAACCTCACACTGCTCCAGCAGCGCAGCCTTGCCGCTGCGAGCCACCTGCGCAGCCACAAGCACCAAGCCACAAGGCACAGCCTTCCGCGGCTGTGCTTCACGTGGTTGCATGGAAGCTGAGGAGGCACACCCAGCCAGTTGTGTTATGAGGTGCCAAGGCCAAGCCCCAGGGCGCCCACCTGCAGCGCCAGCTCAGCATCCTCCTCGCCGCCGCCCACGGTCTGGAAGGCGGGCAGCACGAGCGCCAGGCGCTGCTGCAGCAGGCCCAGTGTGGCGGCACTGTACCCCTGGTCGCTCATGCGGGCGGCCATGGAGGCAGAGGGCACAAAGTCGGCGTCGAGCAGTATGACGGCCTGCGGAGCAGCCAGGAATGGGACCCCCGTGGGTGTGTGTTAGCACACCGCACCTGTGGGGCAGAAGCACTGCTGGCAGCGGGAGCCACCAAGCAACGGCTCCTCCCGGGCACGCCAGCGGTCGATCAGCTGCTCTCAGCGAGCTGCCCACCCGCCCCGACACCAGCGCCACCGCACCTCGGTCTCCGCCAGTCGCAGCGCTCGGTTGCGGACGGCGTTGGCAGGGTACAGGCTGGCGCTGTGTGCGTCGCAGTGCACCTCCACCACCACCTCCAGGTCCAGCAGGCAGCCTGCGGGTGGCAGGGGCGGCAGGGAGGTGAGCGGGCATCCCAACGTGCTGTTGAATGGAGGCTGGCGCCAGGTCGACACCATTTCAGGCCCTTTGCAGCAGCGGGATCCCAGGGATCAATGGCAGCCTGGGGGCAGCCATTCCAGCAGCTGGCAGCTGGCTGCGCAGGCGACTGTGCATGCCGGGTGCTGGCCCGCCATGAGGCCTTCAGGTCTGCTGAGAAAGGCACGCCGCCAGGACGCACCGCCCCCCTCCTCTGCCGCGGCGTGCAGCTGCAGCACCGGTGCCAAGGCCGCGTCCAAGGTGGTCCCATTCAGGTGCGGGTCGTCAGCAGAGGCCACCCTGCCGTCCAGCAGCGGTATGTACAGCGCGGCGGCAACGGCTTGGGGCCAGGCCCTGCAGGGCGGGCCGCGGAGGAGGGGTGAATGTGGGAGGGAGGGGCGAAAGCACCTGCATCTTGGCTGGGCGCAGTGGCTGCCGCAGCGGGCTGATGTGGCAGCACCAAAGGCTGCGCAGTGCTTGGCACACCGTCGGCAGGCCAGCCCCTCGCCTGCACTGCCGCGCCAGCATGGCGAGGCGCTCGAGCGACAGCTGCGTCACGACCGTCACGCCTGCGCCACCCTAGGGGCGTGGCCTGGAGCTGCGCAGCAGGGCCACACCACGCAGCTGCGGCAGCGGCGCGCCGGGCGGCGCGTCGGAGCGGCAGCTGGAGAATGCCCCGCCCGCCTTGCGGCGGCGGTAGACGCCCCGCGCCACCAGCCGCCGCGTCTGCGCCGCGTGCAGCTGCACACGCCGCGGCGGCGCGCCGCGGGCGCTGCCGTTGCAGGCGGCGTCCCACACCGCGCTGTGGTGCAGGTCTGGGCCGCCCAGGATGCTGGCGCGGTAGTGAGCACCCACCGGCCCGCTCAAGGGCGCCGGCTCGGGCTCCAGAGAGGCCTGGTGCTGAGCCAGCACCGCCGTCTTCTGTGCCTCTTGCAGCCCGCGGCCCGCCGCCATCACCACCTGCGGGAGGCGGCTACGGAGGTGCCTCAGGGACCAGTGCAGATGTACAGCGAGTGCAATGAACTCGCTCATGAGCAGGTGGATGCAGCAGGGGCCAGGTTTCAGGCCCGCGCTCACGGTCAGCGCCAGAGCTGCCGCCAGGAAGGCGACTGTGGCGGAGCTGCCCTGCCGCTGCTCCCGCGCCGGCGGCGCCGCAGGCTCTGGCTTCCATGCCGAGATGCCCCCATCCTGCGCCTCCTGCTCCACGCTCTCCTTGGCCTTGCGCAGCAGGGAGGTCCTGCACGCAGGTTAGGAGCAGGCATGTTCTGGGTGTGTGCTGTGGGCGACTGGGGCTGGTCTGCTGTCCCCTGCATGACTCAGGCAGCCAGCCTGGAATCTACACGAGCCGAGGGGACGCAAGGGGCTGGGTGCCCAGGGTTGACCGCTCCCAAACAGCAGAGCTTCGCACCCGTTGACCGTGGCCTTGGTCATGTTCTGTGCGCCCAACACATTAGGCAGCCGAGGCAGAGCAGGGCATTGATCTGACCAGCAATCTTTCTTCCCGGCCGCCAGCCACCCGCCGGCTTGCAATCCTGCCCGCAACGTGCCAGCCGCGCTCAATTTACAAGATAGAATTACATGCAAGGGGAAAACTGCAATACATCTCTCGCTCTGCCCATCCCTCGAGAGGTAAAACCCATCGACAGCCTACTTGCGCCGCTGCTGCCACCACTCCTTCTCCTCTCGGCGCTGCGCCTCCAGCGCGGCGTTGAGTGCCTCAATCTGCCGCTCCTGGCTGGGCCGCTCGGGCGTCACCAGCAGTGGCGGCGCATCCAGCGCCGCCGCGCGCTCCTCGTCCTGCCCGGTGGTGGAGTGGAGCTGCCAGTCGTGGGGCCACGACCTGAACAGCAGGCCGGTGGCGCCCTTGGCAGTACGCACGTCCCACAGATGGTACAGCGGCAGCCAGGCGCACGGGTCGTCTATCAGCGCCGCCGCCTGCGCCTTGAGCTTCTTGTCCCACAGCTGCAGCAGGGCGGGGGCAGCGGGCCGAGAGCAGCAAGGAGTGACAAGCGAGCGCTGCTGCCCTCAACCTCGGGCGATAGCCTCCCGACTAACAGCCATCACTGGCCGGCGCGCTGCCCAGCAGCATGCCCCTGGGGAGAGCACCCACAGCATGGCAGCCCTCCCGCCACCCCACCACCTGCCTGCCCGATGTCTCGGGACGAGGTCCACGTGTGGTTGACCGCAATCAGGGTGTGCTGCGGGTCCAGCACACTCTCTCCAAACTCCCCGGCACACAGCCTGGCAAAGGACGCAAAGTTGAGGTTGCCGACCTGCAGGCGAGCGGCGAGGCGCGCAAGGGCTTCATTTTCGTTTCTTCAAGGCTGTTTGCAAGGCGCCCAGGCAGGCCCCCAGGCCCCGCAGGCAGCAGGCGGTGAGATGCAGGGAGGCCCCGGCTGGGGCAGCGAGCGCGCGCGCGCCTGGCACACAACCGTGATGCTGCCGCCTGCCGCGCGCCACACGCCGATGCCGTCTGCCGGCGACTCTAGCATGCCAACAAACTGCAGGCAGGCAGGCGGGCCAGGCAGGCAGGCGAGGGGGCATGCCGCTCAGGAGCGATACCAGCTCGTGAGGAGGCACAGCCAGCACCAGGGCCACATAAGCTACATGGAGCACTCCCCGCAGCAGGACCGCCGCTGCTGCTGACATCCTGCTAGCGCAACTTGCTGCGCCGGCCCGCTGCTGCTCAGCAGGCCGCGGCAGCGGCGGCGGCGGGAGCAGGGGCGGGGGCGCTGGGGGCAACGGTGGGAGTGGTGGCGGCGGCAGAGGCCAGCAGAGCGGCACACCTGCGGGTCGTAGCCGCTGAGGAACTGCTCTTCGACGAGCGGCCGCAGGCGGCGGAAGCGCTGCTGGATGCCGCCCGGCCAATCCGCCTGGCTGTACTCCCGTACCGCGTCGTCCTGGCGCTCCGGGGACGGCAGCGGCAGCCTGACGGTGAGGCGCTGCCGCCGGCTCGCCGCCGGCACGGCGGCCTCGCCGCCCTCGCCGCCCGCCGCGGCCTCCCGGAACCGCCGCAGCGCGGAGCGGGCCTGGGTGGCGGCCTCGGAGCAGGTCCTGTGGAGCACGATAGGCGCCCAGCTGGTCAAACCAATGCCAAACTCGGGGGTGTGTACCTCCGCCGCACTCACCACCCGCCGCGGTGCCGACATCGCACCTTGCAGGTGTGATCGGCAGGCTGCAAACCGCTCCTCTCATATCATGTCTGTGACCGCGCTCCGTCCCTGGGCTCCTGAACGAAGCCCAGGCGCTCATGTTGGCGCTCTATCGGTCGTCACCCGAGCAGAACCATTCCAGCAGAAACCAAAGCGCGAGGAGCTAAAGGTTCCACTTCATTGCGCAGCCAGGTCTGCACTACAAGCATCCCAGCCAGGCTGCCGCCGGCGCGGCATGCCCAGCATGCCGCGGCTCGCCGCATTCAACACATTTTACAGAGACGGCAGAGACATTGGTGAGGCGCAGCAATGCATGCTCACATGAAAAGAGTTGCTCATGTTTCTGCAGGGTAGGGGGCCGCCTGCAGAGGTGGCGCCTGCCGCTCCCCAGAAGCAGCACAGGCTCATGGAGGCGCTGGCGGGCGAAATGCTGGTCACGTCGTGCTTCCTCAGGCGCCTGCAGATAAGTTTTGCAGGAAAGGTCAAACAGGTTCTGGCTGTCAGCTGCGCGATGTCTGCCTGCAGGCCACTACTGCTTGGGCGGAAGTCGAGCTCCACCTGGCTCATCTCATTAGTTTGCACGGCGGGCTGGCAGTGCGCACGTCGGCTGCTTAGACTTGCCATGGCTGGAATCTCTGATGCGGCCGGAAATGGGAAAGAAGGAGCAGAGGCAACGCTGTGGCGACCCAGCCGGGCGGTGGCGGCGGTGGCGCGCGCGGTGTGCATGCTGGGCCCCTTCGTGAGCAAAAGGGTTCATTTTTGCCGCAGCGCGGAATTTGCTGTGCAGTCTGCAGGATCCCTGCGCCACGACACAGCGACACCAGGTCTCTGTCTGACTGCTAAAGGCTTGCTGTAGGGTAAGCGTGCCCGACAGCGTTGCTTCACGAATGCCGGGCTCACCCGATCGTCCGCCATGTGCCGCATGCCCGATGGGCTAGCACCAGGCGGCCCCCACTTGACCGCCGTCGCCGCCACCGCCGCTCGCCGCCTTGCAGCCTCCGCTCGCCGCAGCCATGGCGCCTCCAGAGGGCGCCCCCGCCACCCCCTCGGCCTTCTACAAGATGCTGAGCGTGCCGGACGCCCAGGAGCTCATCCTGAGCGAGACCCAGGCTCTGCCGCCGGTGGAGGTGCCTTTCCAGCAAGCGCTCCAGCACACCCTGGCGGCCGAGGTGCGGGCGGCCGAGGCGGTGCCCGGCTTCCGCGCATCGATCAAGGTGAGGCACAAGCCGCTGGGGAAGGGCGGGTGTTGTGTCCGGGGCCGCTGAGGGCAGGCAGGCTCCTGTGCCGTCTTGGGAAGGAGGTGGGGCGCCCCGCCTTGCCCAGTACCGCTCGCAGGCGCCACCTTGTGCACGCCTGGCACCTCGCCGCGCCCCAGGCGTTGCCTCACCCGCCGCCGTGGCCGCGGCTTACAGCTCAAGCCCCTGATGCTGCGTGCTGCTGCGCAGGACGGGTACGCCGTGGTATCGTCGGATGGGCCTGGCGAGTATGAGGTGGCGTTTGAGGCGTTTGCGGGGGTGGCCCCCGGCTCGCTCCAGCCCGGCTCCGTCGCCTACATCGGCACGGG